TGTGAAAGTGTGCAGACTAGCAAGTGTTTTATATTAGGTCTAATAAGTGCTTTATATTAAAAGTCACCATGACATTTGTAACTCTTAATAATGGAGCTAAAATGCCAATTTTTGGACTGGGAACATGGAGGGTGAGTATTCACTTTTTTTCATTTTTGTACAGTACAGTTTCATTCAGGATGGTTTCAATTATAGCAGTTGTTTTTTCTGCTGTTGCTTATTGTAGTTTGCCAATTAAACACTGGAAATAGTTCTATTTAATATTAATGCTTTTCGAGTTTTATTTGTCATTTTTGAGATTTTATCATATTTGCAATGTAGCCTATATTAAGATTTAATAGTAACATTTTGAAACCTGCTCCAGTCTGCTCCAGGTGAGGTCACAGAGGCTGTAAAGGCAGCCATCCTGGCCAGCTACCGCCACATTGATGGGGCCCATGTGTATGAAAATGAGAATGAAGTTGGGGACGGAGTCAATGCCATGATTAACCAAGGAGTGGTGAAGAGAGAGGAACTATTCATAGTCAGCAAGGTAGAAGCACATGTAAAAATTAGTATCTGAGGCACATGACAGGAGTCATGGTCTCACAAGGCCAATCATGTGCCTTGGAATTTCACACAACATCAAACCGTCACAGATCATACACAAGGCATTTGTATAACATGTATTATTGTGCGTTATAATCCACTGTTACGTCATGCTTTGATTACAGTTAAAAATGTAGAAAAATGCTCAACAAATACATTATTTGAAAGGAACTTTGGCCATTAACTAAATCCTGCATTTTTTTTTTTACAGCTGTGGTGCACTTACCATGAAAAACACTTGGTAAGAGGAGCCTGTGAAAAGACTCTAAGTGACCTAAAACTGGACTACGTTGATCTCTACCTAATGCACTTTCCCATGGGCACTAAGGTAGTATTAATAAGTATATAACTAATAATAAAATAAGAATTGCTTGTTTTTTCTGTGCATCATTTATACTGATCTGTGTATTAAAATTGGCAGCCTGGAAAGGAGTTTTTCCCATTCGATAAGAATGGCCAAGTAATTCCAGACAACAGCAACTTTCTAGAAACATGGGAGGTAATAAATTTGAGATTTGTGTAACTCACATTTGATAGTTAATAAAAGAACAATTGCCGTTTACTGTACATTGATGTTAATGCCTTCTCACAAAGGCAATGGAAGAGTTAGTGGATGCTGGGTTGGTCAAGGCCATTGGTGTCTCCAACTTCAACCGGGATCAGATTGAGAGAATCCTCAATAAACCAGGACTCAAGTACAAACCTGCCAACAATCAGGTAATGTGTTGTTTGCAGTAAATCTGAAGAATTTAAAACGGATTAAGACTTTGCAGTTCACTGGTGCCAAAATCTTTCCAATAACTGCTTTTCACCTCCAGATCGAGTGCCATCCATATCTGACTCAGGAGAAGCTGATTAACTACTGTCAGTCCAAAGGCATTACAGTCACTGCATACAGTCCTCTGGGTTCCCCAACCAGACCATGGTAAGCACTCTCATTCATTAGTTCATTAATAGTGAGATGGCTATACATTACTTCATGTAGATTTGACTTTCTTTAGGGCACAAGCAGGTGAGCCATCACTGTTGGAGGACCCAAAGATCAAGGCCATTGCAGATGAGCATGGTAAAACCACAGCACAGGTAGGTGTAAACGTGCGTTTTTTTATGACTAAATTCACGTATCCATCAACTTTGAAGTACAATGTTTTAATGTAAGTTGGCCCTTGTAATATTTGCATTATTACAAATGCCTTCATTATATGACATGCTAAGCAAGGAACATTCTTTCCAGGTTCTAATCCGCTTCCACATGCAGAGGAATGTTGTGGTCATTCCCAAATCTGTAAACCCTAAGAGAATCAAAGAGAATTTCGAGGTATTTCCAATTGAATTAAACCATGTTCTACATGTTGCACAAGTACACCAGATATACAAGAATAACCCAATCAGTTTTTGTAAAAGGTCAACATACTGTATACTTTTGTCCCTACAGGTCTTTGATTTTGAACTGAGTAAAGAAGAGATGAACACCATACTGAGTTTTAATAGAAACTGGAGAGCTTTTATGCTGGAATGGTGAGTCATCGTTATGCAAATTTGCAGTGGACTTTGTATCCATTTGTGTAGTATTAGGTCTCTAGAAGTGTTAACTAATGGCCTCCTTTGCCTTATTATTGCAGGGCTTCCAAGCATAAGGATTATCCATTGAATGCAGAATACTAATTAATCCAGTTTCTAACTGCAATATGAAGTAAATATGACTTCTGCATTTCTCATCAGGGATAAATGATGTCAGTAATCTGGCAAGAGATTACAAGAAAGATATGAGCAAAACCACATTATCAACATTTATTCAAGTGTAATACTGTCATTTGAGGGACTAAATGTGGTTAATTGTAAAGTAAAGGTCAAGTGAGCAGTTCCAAGACACGAGAAACACATTTAAAAAACGTAAGCCAGAGAGCTGTTTGACACAGAACTTTATTTGGATTTTTAAAAGCATACATCAATACAGTAAACAAGAGCTGCTCTTGTGAACTGGATGTGCTTCTGTTGTCATTTTATGAAATTAAGGAGTGTGTATTAATTAATATAAAAAAATATATATTCAAAGGACCAATACATTCTCATGTTATCTGCCCAATTGTGCAAAGTGTGTGACATTGTTCAAATAAAAAAAGAAAAAATGTTACTAGTTTCTCAGACTTCCTTATGATTCATTTGTATTGTTTTGTCATAATACATTTAATGCAAGTCTTTTTACATTTGTTCTAAAGTAGTAACAGCTTAAAATTGTCGAAGCATTAACAAATATGACTTTATGGGCAAAGAAAGAAAATTCATTTGAAGTATAGTGGCTGCTATAATAAGGCTTGCTTTAAATTCCAAACCTGCAAATCACATATCACAGTAGCTCTGTAAGGAAGTTTCTCAGTAACTGTAAGATTCGTAAAGCAAAATGAAGAGATTTTCACATTAATCAAAGGCAAAATCAGCAATCTCAGAAACAAGGAACCTGTTTTTCTTAAACAGCATGCTCCAAGATGTCTTCTTTTAATATTCGGCATTAAATGGGTAGTCTTTGTGCTTCACACCCCTGCGTTGACAGAAAAACGCATTGTTAAATGATGAATAAATTAGAATTTCACAAAAATATTTTTTTCCCTTTTCATATATAGTAAAACCAGGGTTCCCGCTCCATTTTCCACTTGTTTTCGATTACTGGATATTGATTTTTTTTATATATATATATATAATTTTATAGAGACTGTACTCAACAACAACTATTAACAACTTCAAGTAACAACTATTTCTAGTACGTTAGGTGACTGCAAATTTTAGAATTTTTAAGACTTGTTTAGGACAGTAAAGAAAATCGAAGGAATAAATTGAATGGAATACAATTATGGACTCTAAATGTAAATGTCTTGTATTAGCAAACCTTCTAAGACTGAAACACAAACAATCAAGAGATCTCCGTTCTATTTTGATACATTTTACAAAAAAAAAACTCTTGAAACCTCTGCTCTCAACCACTAGAATATGTAAATAACTTTTACTGTACCCTCTGATCACACTGAAAAAAAAGTTTTTCCATGAATAATATATTTATTGAAGAATTTGACCAACTCATCTGTGGTCACTTACCTTTGCACGCAGTCCTAGAATGAGTTGAACTCCAAGTTTATGACTAACCAGTTCTGGAACTGCCTCTGACACCAATGAAACCAAATCTGCCAGCATCCCATACTGCTGCACATCCTTCTGCTGTACAGTTCTCCACATGAAGGCAGACATGAGGCGCACAGGAGGGACCAAGAGGCGCAGGGCCGAGAGAGGGAGAGGAATTCTGTCTGGAATTACATTTTAAACCATTGTCAAAATAAAACAACCATGATCAGGTCAGTGGAGTTAGGGTGAGTATTTAGAGTAAATATTAAAATTGCAATTAAAAGGCAATTGTTTGTAGCTGTCTAACGAGTTAAAGTTCAAATATCTGCAAAGAAAGAAAATTCTTCGATGATAAATTACACACTTGCAGCATTTCTAAAAAAAAAAAAAAAAAAACTCTCACCTAAGTGCTCTTGTCTGGGGAATTCACTGTCCATTATGTAGTTATTTAGCTGCTTTCCTTGAAGTCAATAATCTCATATGTTACTTGTCAAATCGCTCATTTCTGTTGTGCAGAATTTAGTAGATTTACCACGCAAAATTACATTACAAGTCTCTCTGACTGTTTTGGGTGTGAACACAGCTCTGACGACGACATTACGAAATACAGTTTCAAAATAAAAGCTTGAGGCGTCCGCTAAAATTAAACGAAATAATACAAAAATAAAACAAAACAAAATAAAATAAAATACTGCTACAAGTGCTTCGGTGTTTAAAATAACAAACGCAGATGCTTCACTGCTATGTTCATCGTGTCATCCAGATTTTAGAAATCTAAATAAAAGTCTAAATAAAAACTCTTAAAACTGTCTAAATGAAAGAAAGAAAGAAAGTTATATACTGTAAAAAATATTTGCAGATGTATTTGTTGCAGTTATTACTATCGATATATCATGTCATTCATATTTTAAAAACCAGAAGCATTCACAAAAAAAAGTATTTTATTCATGTCTGTAATTGCTATTATATTTTAAAATTAATTTATTATTTTTAATAATAAAACGTATTTTCTTTCAAAATCTCCCCGTGGCTAGAAGGGATACAGCTAAAACCGGAAGCTACCAATAAATTAAATGTTCTACCTATTAGATTGTGTTTTATTAACGTCTACACCAGAGCAATAGAAAGAGATATGGCTCTGGTCTACACCTACCCCAACCCTAAACCTACCCCTTACAATAATGCAAAAATAGTAATTATTGTTGTACAGTGTGACAAAAATTACGCTGTATTAATGTGCGCATGCCCAGTAGCGCCGTATTATCCCTTCTAGTCTTTAAACCTTCCAAGGGGTGTTTCCAGACCTGACCAATCGAATCCACTTACATATGGAGCTTCAAAAGAAGAGGCTGCTGCAGAGTGTGAAGGCTGTGAAAGTGTGCAGACTAGCAAGTGTTTTATATTAGGTCTAATAAGTGCTTTATATTAAAAGTCACCATGACATTTGTAACTCTTAATAATGGAGCTAAAATGCCAATTTTTGGACTGGGAACATGGAGGGTGAGTATTCACTTTTCTTCATTTTTGTACAGTACAGTTTCATTCAGGATGGTTTCAATTATAGCAGTTGTTTTTTCTGCTGTTGCTTATTGTAGTTTGCCAATTAAACACTGGAAATAGTTCTATTTAATATTAATGCTTTTCGAGTTTTATTTGTCATTTTTGAGATTTTATCATATTTGCAATGTAGCCTATATTAAGATTTAATAGTAACATTTTGAAACCTGCTCCAGTCTGCTCCAGGTGAGGTCACAGAGGCTGTAAAGGCAGCCATCCTGGCCAGCTACCGCCACATTGATGGGGCCCATGTGTATGAAAATGAGAATGAAGTTGGGGACGGAGTCAATGCCATGATTAACCAAGGAGTGGTGAAGAGAGAGGAACTATTCATAGTCAGCAAGGTAGAAGCACATGTAAAAATTAGTATCTGAGGCACATGACAGGAGTCATGGTCTCACAAGGCCAATCATGTGCCTTGGAATTTCACACAACATCAAACCGTCACAGATCATACACAAGGCATTTGTATAACATGTATTATTGTGCGTTATAATCCACTGTTACGTCATGCTTTGATTACAGTTAAAAATGTAGAAAAATGCTCAACAAATACATTATTTGAAAGGAACTTTGGCCATTAACTAAATCCTGCATTTTTTTTTTTACAGCTGTGGTGCACTTACCATGAAAAACACTTGGTAAGAGGAGCCTGTGAAAAGACTCTAAGTGACCTAAAACTGGACTACGTTGATCTCTACCTAATGCACTTTCCCATGGGCACTAAGGTAGTATTAATAAGTATATAACTAATAATAAAATAAGAATTGCTTGTTTTTTCTGTGCATCATTTATACTGATCTGTGTATTAAAATTGGCAGCCTGGAAAGGAGTTTTTCCCATTCGATAAGAATGGCCAAGTAATTCCAGACAACAGCAACTTTCTAGAAACATGGGAGGTAATAAATTTGAGATTTGTGTAACTCACATTTGATAGTTAATAAAAGAACAATTGCCGTTTACTGTACATTGATGTTAATGCCTTCTCACAAAGGCAATGGAAGAGTTAGTGGATGCTGGGTTGGTCAAGGCCATTGGTGTCTCCAACTTCAACCGGGATCAGATTGAGAGAATCCTCAATAAACCAGGACTCAAGTACAAACCTGCCAACAATCAGGTAATGTGTTGTTTGCAGTAAATCTGAAGAATTTAAAACGGATTAAGACTTTGCAGTTCACTGGTGCCAAAATCTTTCCAATAACTGCTTTTCACCTCCAGATCGAGTGCCATCCATATCTGACTCAGGAGAAGCTGATTAACTACTGTCAGTCCAAAGGCATTACAGTCACTGCATACAGTCCTCTGGGTTCCCCAACCAGACCATGGTAAGCACTCTCATTCATTAGTTCATTAATAGTGAGATGGCTATACATTACTTCATGTAGATTTGACTTTCTTTAGGGCACAAGCAGGTGAGCCATCACTGTTGGAGGACCCAAAGATCAAGGCCATTGCAGATGAGCATGGTAAAACCACAGCACAGGGTGTAAACGTGCGTTTTTTTATGACTAAATTCACGTATCCATCAACTTTGAAGTACAATGTTTTAATGTAAGTTGGCCCTTGTAATATTTGCATTATTACAAATGCCTTCATTATATGACATGCTAAGCAAGGAACATTCTTTCCAGGTTCTAATCCGCTTCCACATGCAGAGGAATGTTGTGGTCATTCCCAAATCTGTAAACCCTAAGAGAATCAAAGAGAATTTCGAGGTATTTCCAATTGAATTAAACCATGTTCTACATGTTGCACAAGTACACCAGATATACAAGAATAACCCAATCAGTTTTTGTAAAAGGTCAACATACTGTATACTTTTGTCCCTACAGGTCTTTGATTTTGAACTGAGTAAAGAAGAGATGAACACCATACTGAGTTTTAATAGAAACTGGAGAGCTTTTATGCTGGAATGGTGAGTCATCGTTATGCAAATTTGCAGTGGACTTTGTATCCATTTGTGTAGTATTAGGTCTCTAGAAGTGTTAACTAATGGCCTCCTTTGCCTTATTATTGCAGGGCTTCCAAGCATAAGGATTATCCATTGAATGCAGAATACTAATTAATCCAGTTTCTAACTGCAATATGAAGTAAATATGACTTCTGCATTTCTCATCAGGGATAAATGATGTCAGTAATCTGGCAAGAGATTACAAGAAAGATATGAGCAAAACCACATTATCAACATTTATTCAAGTGTAATACTGTCATTTGAGGGACTAAATGTGGTTAATTGTAAAGTAAAGGTCAAGTGAGCAGTTCCAAGACACGAGAAACACATTTAAAAAACGTAAGCCAGAGAGCTGTTTGACACAGAACTTTATTTGGATTTTTAAAAGCATACATCAATACAGTAAACAAGAGCTGCTCTTGTGAACTGGATGTGCTTCTGTTGTCATTTTATGAAATTAAGGAGTGTGTATTAATTAATATAAAAAAATATATATTCAAAGGACCAATACATTCTCATGTTATCTGCCCAATTGTGCAAAGTGTGTGACATTGTTCAAATAAAAAAAGAAAAAATGTTACTAGTTTCTCAGACTTCCTTATGATTCATTTGTATTGTTTTGTCATAATACATTTAATGCAAGTCTTTTTACATTTGTTCTAAAGTAGTAACAGCTTAAAATTGTCGAAGCATTAACAAATATGACTTTATGGGCAAAGAAAGAAAATTCATTTGAAGTATAGTGGCTGCTATAATAAGGCTTGCTTTAAATTCCAAACCTGCAAATCACATATCACAGTAGCTCTGTAAGGAAGTTTCTCAGTAACTGTAAGATTCGTAAAGCAAAATGAAGAGATTTTCACATTAATCAAAGGCAAAATCAGCAATCTCAGAAACAAGGAACCTGTTTTTCTTAAACAGCATGCTCCAAGATGTCTTCTTTTAATATTCGGCATTAAATGGGTAGTCTTTGTGCTTCACACCCCTGCGTTGACAGAAAAACGCATTGTTAAATGATGAATAAATTAGAATTTCACAAAAATATTTTTTTCCCTTTTCATATATAGTAAAACCAGGGTTCCCGCTCCATTTTCCACTTGTTTTCGATTACTGGATATTGATTTTTTTTATATATATATATATAATTTTATAGAGACTGTACTCAACAACAACTATTAACAACTTCAAGTAACAACTATTTCTAGTACGTTAGGTGACTGCAAATTTTAGAATTTTTAAGACTTGTTTAGGACAGTAAAGAAAATCGAAGGAATAAATTGAATGGAATACAATTATGGACTCTAAATGTAAATGTCTTGTATTAGCAAACCTTCTAAGACTGAAACACAAACAATCAAGAGATCTCCGTTCTATTTTGATACATTTTACAAAAAAAAAACTCTTGAAACCTCTGCTCTCAACCACTAGAATATGTAAATAACTTTTACTGTACCCTCTGATCACACTGAAAAAAAAGTGGTACTCTTGTTTTGTTTTTTCTCCCCAGTGCAAATGTCCAAAGATTCTTAAAACAAGACACATTTACTTGAGTAGTAAAGTGCCAGAAAATAAAAAGACTTGCTTTATGATATCAAAGACTTGCTTTATGTAGTGAGTTTTTGATTAAAACAACATCTGCCAATGGGTTTTTGAAAAATCTACTTAATTAACTCAAATGGAAATCAGGTTTTAATAATAACCCACTGGCAGATATTTGTTCTCATTTTAGGCATTAACTCAATTTTGTTCAATTTCTCAGAAAACAAGACGTTATATCTTTAATTTACACCTCAAGTAAATGCATCTTAATTAACAATATTTAGATATTTGTATTGGAAAACAAAACAAGCGTACTGGAGATACTCACTTTTTGCAGAGCATGCAACATTTCATGTCATGACTTCATGAATGTAATACATTCTGCTCTGATTTTAATCATTTTAAAGCCTTAATTTGTGAAAGTGCAAATTAAGACCTGCAAAAACTATAATTTAGTTTGACTACAAAACTATCATTTATATTGACTACACTTCTATGACTTTATTTTTCCAAGATTTTATTAATTTCCATAACAGTTCTAAAATTCCATGATGACCATAACCTGGGAACCCTGTGAAAGATACTCACCATTGCATTGGACAAGCCCTGAAATTCTTGTTGAAGCCCAAAATGGACTTGATGTCCTCCTGACTCAACTCAAAATCAAAGACCTTTTGGTGTAGAAAAAATATTAAAAAGTCAAACAATCAAAATCAATCAATAAATAATCATAATAATTCAGCATACTGATACAGTACTAGCAACACTATGATTCCAAGACCTTATTGAGAGTGTGACTTCTGAAGATTAACTTACTTGAAAGTTCCCTTGAATACGCTGAGGTGTGATGGACTTGGGGATGACGATCACATTCCTCTGAATGTGGAAGCGGATGAGAACCTGTGCATGGATGTCAAATAAATATTATTCTATAAGTCAATAACAAGCTTTGACATAAGTAGGATGGAGGTCTCCTCACCTGGGCAGTAGTCTTTTTGTGCTTCTCTGCAATGGCCTTGATTTTTGGATCATCAAGCAGTGAGGGATCTTCAGGTTTAGCCCTAAGTTTGAGAGAAAGCTCAAAGGTTATTCACAGAAACCATATATAAAGTCACCAACTGCACCTTGAACCGTCATAGCAAATAAATGACAAAGCTTCAGCATCTGGGAATGGCGGCCTACCAAGGTCTGTCTGGAGAACCCAGAGGACTGTATGCAGTGACTGTAATGCCTTTGGACTGACAGTAGTTAATCAGCTTCTCCTGAGTCAGATAGGGGTGGCACTCGAACTGAAGAAGAAAAAAATAAATACAAAATAAATAAATATTTTATAAACAAAAATACAGTATAAAAAAAACATAGGATTTTTTTTAATAATCACTAACTAATGTAATCAATCAGTGTCCCACGATTCATCAGAAGCTGATTTGATGCTCAAGAAACATTTCTTATTATTATCAAAATTGAAAACAGTTGTTCTGCTTACCTTTTTTTTTTTTTTTTTT